GGGGGGGGGGGGTGTCACAGTTTGTTTCATAGGAGTCATTTATACAAAACTTCAAATTAGTAAATGAAGATTGGGCCGCACAGGTGATGGTTAGACTGTAGTTGTGGGGATTACACAACTCGTGGCTAGACTAGAATTGTAGGGGATTACCAGCAAATCCACTTCCCCCATCAAATGTACAAGTGACTGAATTACTTTTTACTTTAAATGCGACACCATATCCTTTCAAGTAGCATTTCTTTTTTCTTCTTTGTTTCCTTCTCACTAACTTTAGTTTGTGTCATTGCCTATGAGTTTGTCTCAGTGTGTTTTTGTAATGTGTGATTTAAACAGCTCTGTTTTTCTTGTTTTTATAAATCCTTACTTGAGGATGTATTTTTTTCTTGTTGTTGTTTTCATTGATCTTAGAGGAAGGGGGGGAGAGAGAAAGAGAGAAACATCAGTATGAGGGAGAAACAACAGTCAGTTGCTTCTTTGTGCACCCTGACTGGGAATCGAACCTTACAACCTTTGGTGAACCGGACAACACTCCAACCAACCGAGCCCCACCAGCCAGGGCTAAAGAGCTCCGTTTTATTTTGAACAGTGTCTGTTCGGATCATATTCCCCACAGCGTATTTCTTTTTTTAATTTTTTTTTCAATTACAATTGACATACAATATAGTTTCAGGTGTACACCCCAGTGATCAGACATTACATAACTTACTAAATAATCATCCCGACAAATTTTATACTCCTCTGACACCACACATGGTTATTAGATTATTGACTATACTCTCAGTGCTGTACTTTACATCCCTGTGACTGTTCTGTAACTACCACTTTGTACTTTTCAATCCCTTCACCTTTTTCACCCCGCCCGCGCCGCCTCCCCCCTGTCAAAATCTTCTCTGTATCTGTTGGTCTGTTTCTGTCTGATTGTTCGTTTATTTTTAAAATTTTCACCTCCATTGACTTTAGTCTCCATTGATTTTTGGGGGGGGGAGAAACATCGATCGGCCACCTCCAGTTTGCACCCCGGCTGGGGATGGAACCCGCAACTCTTTTGTGTACGGAATGACGCTCCAACTAACTGAGCCGCCTGGCTAGGGCTTTTTTTTTCTTTCTTAAAGAAGACCCTCTGCCCTGGCTGGGTAGCTCAGTTGGTTAGAGCATCATCCTGATATGCCAAAGTTGTGGGTTGTGGTCAGGACACATACAGAAATCAACCAATGAATGCATCAATAATTGGAACAACCAATGGATGTTTCAATGTCTTTCTTTCTCTCTCCCCTCCTCTTCCTCTCTCCCACCTTTCCTCTCTCCCCCCCTCCTTCCCTCTCTCTCTAAAATCAATAAATATTTTTTTTAAAAAAAGAAGACCCTTTAACATTTCATGTAATACTAATTTGGTGGTGATGAACTCCTTTAGGTTTTTCTGGTGTGGGAAACTCTTTGTCTGCCCTTTCATTCTAAATGATAGCTTTGCTGTGTAGAGTAATCTTGGTTGTAGGTCCTTGCTTCTCATAACATTATTTTTTGCCAGTCCCTTCTGGCCTGCAAAATTGCTGTTGTGAAATCAGCTGGCAGACATATGGGAGCCCCCATGTAAGTAAGTAACTGCTTTTCTTTTGCGGCTTTTAAGATTCTCTCTTTGTCTTTAACTGTTGGCATTTTAATTATGATGTGTCTTGCTGTGGGCCTCTTTGGGTTCCTCTTGTTTGGGACTCTCTGCGCTTCCTGGGCTTGCCTGTCTAGTTCCTTCTCCAGGTAGGGGGAGTTTTCTGTCATTTTTTCAAATAGGTTTTCAGTTTCTTGCTCTCCTCCTTCCACCACCTCCATGATGTGAGTGTTGGCACACTTGACGTTGTCCCGGAGGCTCCTTTACACTACCCTCATTTTCTGGATTCTTCTTTCTTTTTGCTGTTCTGATTGGGTGTTTCTTTCTCATGTTCCAAATGGCTTTGATTCTCGGCTTAGTCTACCCTACTGTTGATTCCCTGTAAATTATTCTTCATTTGTTAGTGTCTCCCTCATTTCTGACTGCTTTTTCATGATTTCCAGGCCCCTTTTTGTGCCGTTGATGTTCGCTCTGAGCAGCTGGCGCTCTGAACTCTGTAGGTTGCGTGTCTGCATGTTCAGTTCTTTTCCTGTTTCTTTTTTTTTTTTTTATCCTCACTGAGGACATTTTTTGTTACTTTTCAGAGAGAGTGGATGGGAGGGAGAGAGAGACAGAAAGACAGACATTGATGTGAGAGAGACACATCCATTGGTGTTCTCCCGCGTGTGCCCCCACTGGGGGCGGGGGATCGAGCCTCAGCCGAGGTGTGTGCCCTTGGCTGGAATGGAACTCACAGCCCTTCAGTCCGAGGGCTGATGCCCAAACCACTGCACCACACCAGTTCTTTTTCTAGAGTTTTTTTGTGTTCTTTCATTTGGGACATGTTTCTTTGTCTCCTCATTCTGGTAGCCTCCCTGTGTGTGTTTCTACGTATTAGGTAGAGCTGCTACGTCTTCCAGGCTTGGTAGAGTGGCCTGATGTAGTAGGTGTCCTGTAGGGTCCAGGGGCATGGCCTCCCCGGTCACCTGTGCTGGGCACTCCAGGGACACTCGACCACCCCTGCCCACCCCACATGGGCGGTGTACACCCTCCTGTTGTAGTTGAGCCTTGATTCTTCTTGGCAGGTCAATGGGAGAGATTTACCCTGAGGCCAGTTGGCTGCAGAGACTGGCTGTGATGAACCAGATGTGCAGGGGCCCACCCCACAGAGCAGGGCTTACTTTAGTGGGACTCTGGTGCCCGCTGAGTCTGCCCCTTAAGTGCGTCTCTTGTGGAGGTGGTTGGGTGGTTCTTCAACATGGTCCAAAACTGTCCATCTGGTTCACTGGCTCTGGGGCCTTCCAGGAACACAGCCCGTTCTTATCAAGGGGTGACATGGAACCCCCTGAAAGGATTTTCAGAGCACATCTGCCGGTGTTCCCTCGACACACCTGTTTGAGAAGCTTTAAGAGATTTGGGTGCGCCTCTGGTTAAGATCAGCTGCTTCCCACTCCACCCCAACAGATGGAAGCTCTTAACTATAATTTGCTGTTTGAGGAAAGGACCAAGGAATGAATTTGAATTGAATCCAAAACATTGACTTTGAAGGCAAAATGATCATAGATCCACATTCATTTTTAGGACAGAATCATATGAGCACCATAAAAGTTTTGGCAAAAAGATGAACATTAAATGACAGAGGAGAAGATTGGGGATAAGAGCAGAAAATAGAAACCTTGACTGTTCTAGGCTTGGGTGCTCTTTGGACCAGAAAACAGACCTCAGACCTAAATGAGTGACTCTGGAACTTACTGTACCCACAGACCAGTTTAGTAGGCAGAATGCCTTTGGCCCCTTCTTTTATCCTCAGCACTGTCCACTGAAAGGCAAGTCAACCCTCACCAGAGTGGGTGGTACTGTTGTGACCTTTGACAAGATGCCAAGGGTGAGATTCATAACATGTTTTAAAATTAACAGGAGCAATAAAGTATTGATAGGTAGTGTTCTATTTTTGGAGTCAGTGACCTTAATTAAAGTTGAATTTTAAAGTCTCATCAGTATAGTGCTTTTAACATGGATCCTGCAAATTACTAGACCTGTTAACCTCTATTTCTTTATATTTAAATGTGGGTGGTGATACATGCCTGATCATGGAGTTGGTGCGGGATCTGATGAAACTGCTCGTGGGAAAGCACTCTGATGCCTGGCCCACGTCACCCCTCGCTAATGTCTGGGTTGTTGCCATGTTTCAGGGGGCTGAGGCCATGGTTCTGGAGAGCGTGATGTTCGCCATTCTTGCAGAGAGGTCTCTGGGGCCGAAGCTCTATGGCATCTTTCCGCAAGGCCGCCTGGAGGAGTTTATTCCGGTAAGATGTGTTCACGTCTGGTTTCTGTCTCTTCACTACAGGAGCCTGAGATGTTGGGGTCTGAAATAGTAAATGACCTATATTTTTTCTTTTTCTTTTTTTAAAAAAATTGTTTTTAAAGATTTTTAAAATTGATTTTTAGAGAGAAGAAGGGGGAGAGAGAGAGAAACATCAATGTGAAAGCAAAACATTGATTGGCTGCCTCCTGCACTCCCCTTACTAGGGATCGAGCCCACAACCTGGGCATGTGCCCTGACTGGAAATTGAGTGCACAGGACGATGCCCAGTCAACTGAGCCACACCGGCCAGGTTTGTTTTGTTTTGTTTTTTGGAGAGGAAGGGAGAGAGATGGGGGGAGAAACATCAGTGTGAGAGAGAAATATCAATCGGTCACCTCCCGCAAATGCCCTGACCAGGGATTGAACCCACAACCTGGGTATATGCCCTGACTGCCACCCTTTGGTGCACAGGATGACGTTGCAACCAATTTAGCCACACCAGCCAGGGCTACTGGCATTTTTTAAGAGCTCTAAAAGCTCAGCGAGCTGCCTTAATTAGTCCCTGGTGTCCTGCCACTAGAAGCTGAGTGCCCTGTCCCTGTCACAGCATGGTCATTGTGGAGTTTCCAGAGTTGAGAAGAGTGAGCCTGATGCTCTCAGCGGGCCTCAGCCCCAACCATAGGGCATCTGCCACTTGTTGCGACACTCCCTAGTTAGGTGCTGGTCCAGAGCCTCACTCACATTGTCTATGCTAGTTCAGAGCAGCCCTGTCAGGGACTTCATGTCATGTTGACATTTTACAGACACCAGAAAATGAGGCGCAGAAGTATAAGTAACATACCCTTAGCTGTGGAGCTTTAAAATGCGTATGGAAGCCAGAAGTTGAGGGGGGTGGGTATCTAGCTTGGGGACACTTGCTCTTAACCCCTTTGCTGTCCCACTTTGGATTTTCAGAGAAATGTTTCCGGGTTTCTGTAGGCCAGTAGTTTGTGTGGGAAAGATGAACAGGTCTTAAGTGACTGAGCTCCCATGAGTGGCTGTGGAAGGGCAGCCCCACACATGTGGCCTCAGGCTGTGTTAGGAAGCTGGGCATAAGCCCACCTCGCTGGGTGCCTTTTTCTTGTTGAAAGCCTTCTCTGTGCCAGGCTAGGTAAGTGCTGGGGACACTGCTGTGAATAATGGGACATGACTCACCTGAGCTCATGGCACTCCCTCACCTGCATGTGTGAGAGTGGACTATTCCAGCTGAGGAAGGAGCTAGATGCTGGGTCAACTAATAAACTGCTAGAGACCTGGGGTTTTTCACCTAGTGCTGGGTAGAGTGAACAGAGGGCAGGCATAGATTAGATGGGAGAAGGACTTTCAGCCAAAGGTTCAGAATGAAATTGACCTTTGAAGGTTGCTTGCCCTTCACTGAGTGCCCTGGCGGTTGCTGGGTTGCCGGTGATCTTTGGGCACCGTGCCCATTCTTAAGGAAATGTTGTGAACTGGCTGATACTTAGTCACCCCACAAACCTTGGCTTCTCTTCCATAGAGATTGTGTGAACTCACACTTCCTGGTTTACCTGGATAAATGCCATTTTCTAACTCCCTTTTTTATTTCAGAGCCGGCGATTAGAGACTGAAGAATTAAGTTTGCCAGATATTTCTGCAGAAATAGCTGAGAAAATGGCCACATTTCATGGTATGAAAATGCCATTCAATAAGGAACCGAAATGGCTTTTTGGAACAATGGAAAAGTAAGTGGTCAGATCGCTTTTCTCTGACTTAGTTTTGCATTGACAGCTCCTGGTGGTACCAGAGGTGAGCACCAGCTGGCCATGTGGTCAGAAGGCTTCCTTTGTGTGCTGGTGCGCCGCTGTTAGCTGGTGGTGTCTGCATCATGAATAGATCTTTCTTCCATGACAGAATCAGTTCCTGAACCAAGAAAGATGACTTGCAGAAATGCCACTGAACAGGTGGATGGGCGGGAAGTCTGCCTTCCAGGGCCCCTGGGCCCTGCTCCCTCTCCTTTCCCTGTCATTGAGATGGGGGGCCCCTGGATTGTGTGGTTACATGTAACTAGAGCCCAGGGACAGGCCATGAACTGAGCAATGCTCTTTTTGTTCTCCCCTTTCCTGCAAGGTACCTAAATCAAGTGCTGAGAGTTAAGTTTACCGAGGAGGCCAAAGTGAAGCAGCTCCACAGGTTCCTCAGTTACAACCTGCCTTTGGAACTGGAAAACCTGAGGTCAGTATTTGCTTCCATTTCCTGACTTAGAAAGTACACGTGTCCAGAAATGTAAATATTCATAGTCACTAAAGCAGTGTCAGTAATCACTTACTAAGCATTGCCTCAGGTCTGGCATTTACATTTGGTGGTTGTGCAGGATGGGTTTAAACAGTGGCTTTCGTCACCTGGAATTAGTTTTATATGAGTGATGTCAATTCTCTGGTCATCCACGAAGGTTTCATTGAGGGAGTGCAGTTTCACAGGGACGGTTGGTGATTAGGGCAGTGGAGCACAGGCAGTAGGTTTTTTCTGAAACAAACCAAAACATCAAACCATGGGGACAGGCTGGGAATTCACATGACAGACATTACCCAGAGGCCATGTGCTGTTTGGAGCACGAATGCAGAGCAGGGCTTGCTGAGACAGCAGGACTATTTGCGTTGGACTTCTTAAAGGTTTGATAAGTAATAGCAAAACCTTCCTTTTCCAGATCATTGCTTGAATCCACTCCATCTCCAGTTGTATTTTGTCATAATGACTGTCAAGAAGGTAAGAATTGCCACCCACTCTGTGTGTGTGCACGCGCGCGCACACTGAAAGATTGCTTCCGGAGCGTATGGTTAATGCCGCGTGTCCAGGAAGAAAGAGGATTAGAGGCATTAACTTATGGCCCAGCTAGACATGACGTGTTGCATAACTATTAAAAGACAGGAGCGTTTGAGATCTTGCTTCTCAGTATGTCATGAGTTTGGCTCAAATAAACTCATAAAAATTCTCAAAAAAGAAAAAAGAGAGTCAAGTTGAGTTTCATACCCGCCAACAGAAAAATCTCCAGGATGCAATAAAGGAAAAAAACAAGTTTTAGAAAAACATGTAGGATATCATCCCATTTTTGTAAAAAAATATATTCATAGAAAAAAATCAGAATATTCACTTAAACTGGGAGCTGGGTTAAAGGCCTTCAACTTCCTAAGCCACATGTTCAGTGTTTGACGCCTTCCTGTAGACATAGGACTCTTAACCTGAACAAGCAGTATGAAGGCAGGACCGCCTCAGTCAGTCTGGGTCCAGCCCTCTGCAGTGAGCAGCCCCTTGCAGCATATCAGAGCCACCTGCTCTCAGAACATCGGCTCACCTTCGGGCCCTTGGCCAGGCTGAGCAGTTTGTTTTAGAGAACAGCCCCTATTGAAGACCAGTCATCAGTAAGACCTTCGTTTAAGCCAAGTACCTCTTACTAATTAGCTGATCCGTTGCTGGCCAAGTCCAGTCAAACAGCCTGTGGCCACATCAACCAATTTTGTGTGTGTGGGAGGTCAGTTGGCCAGTGATGGCAGCATGTGGAGAGAACGGGAGAATGAGAGCTGTGCATTCGCTTTGTTCTGCTGTGGGCATCTGCCTCCACTTCTCCTGTTTTTGGCCAGTGGAAACAGAAAGTGTTGCTGAAAAGCCTAGAAACTGTGCCTCCTGCAGAATCCCTAGAGAGGGAGTGGCCAACAAATGAACTCTGGCGGGCACTGCTCACACACCACCCCATGGGGACTGAGATGCTGGACATTGTGTAGAGTTGTGAGGGTCTCAGAACATAGGCCTGAGTGGCAGTGTGGCAGCCAACTCATTCCTGGCCCAGAATTCAGCCCTAAAGGAAATGTACAAACATTGCTTGTGGTCTTGGTTAGAAAACCTCGCAAGGGCCAAGTACTGGGGCCAGGTGTGGTCCCCGGAGCCCTGTGGAGGCTGACCTCACCCCTGGCATCCTCATTGGGAGGACACCAGAACACAGCGTCCCAGCATCCCCACCTCAGGCTTCCGGGGGGGTGTTGGCTAGCCAGAGCTCCAATGTACCAAATGGGCATTTCCCTTTGTTCCCCATGTGAAAAACTTGGCAAACACTGCTCCAGAAAACCAAGGGAGAGCCCAGGGCCATGTTCCTCTGAGGCTGCTGTAAACAGGTAGGGACCCCTGGCCTTCCGTCAAGGCCAGACCTCTCAGGACAGTGCTGCTCCAGGAGCCACCGGCATGGCAGTCACCTTTGCTCTGTGCGTGGTTAGCATTCCTTAAAGGATCAGGGACACTCTGGCTCTGCTGTCAGAACCTGTGCGTTCGAGTGTGAAACCTGCCCAGAGTGAAAGTCATGTCATGCAAACTTTTCTGCAGGTAACGTCTTACTGCTGGAAGGGAGAGAGAATTCTGAGAAGCAGAGACTGATGCTCATCGACTTTGAGTACAGCAGTTATAATTACAGGTAATGTGTTCCAATGTTTTCACTCCAGCACTGTTTTATTTGAATATGTGTATAAAACACCTATAGGGAAAACAGATAACAAAACCATTGTAAGTTACAACGTGTAACTGGAAGCAATGCTTTTTGTCCCCGTGCCACAATGGCCGCATGCAGACGCACAGCCTGTCCTTAGCTTGTGTTAGAGGGAGCAGGGCTCTCTTACGAAAGAATCTGGTTCTTTTCGTAAAAGTGCTGATTGCAGGAGAAAGCTCTTGCACAGTTGCTCTTGAGCGGCAGGTTGGGTGGAGCTTTGCTGCTCCTGTTGGCCGTGGTTCTGGTAACGCCCCATTGGCTGTCCCTGTCCCTGGAGCAGGTGTACTCCTGGGACCTCAGGAAGTCTGCTCGTTTCTGGGAGGGATGCTCATGACTCAGCCTCTTTCTGTAAACAGAGCCTCATGGTGCGCAGGTTGCCTCACTCTCCGCATTTCTGACCTCTTTTTCAGGGGATTCGACATTGCAAACCATTTCTGTGAGTGGATGTATGATTATTCCTATGAGAAGTACCCCTTTTTCAGAGCAAACATCCTTAAGTTCCCCACCAGGAAGCAGCAGGTAGGGCTGGTGTGCATACACTGGCTGGTTGGTGAATTACCCATGTCAGCTTTATGTAGTTAGTGTTGGTTATATGTGCATTTTGAAAGATGCTCATTTTAAACTGTGTAATGGTTAGGCAAACGCTTTTGCTTTAAATGTTTTTTCATTAAATGTAAACACAAACATGACATTTGAGTCCAGCTCTGTGCCAGAGATACCTGTATTCATTCAGAGAGGAGCCAAGTCCCCTTTGTACTTCCTAGTTTTTTCCAAACAGCTCAGCCTCTGTTCTGCTTTCTGACTGCCTTCTGGAGATCACTGACCTCCCTCTGTTTCCTGCTGTGCAGGGAGGAGGAGTCTTGGGTAGCACGATGTAGTAGCTGCTGTGGTGTTAACTGTTCTCTAGCTTGTCCTGAGTTACGGGAGTCCAGTGACTGGGTTTTGCCTCCTGGAAACCCTTCTCTTCCATTCCTCAGCCCGCTGCTGAAGCCTGGGTTGAGGATAAGTAGGTAGCCAATGGAAGCAGACAGGGCTGGGGCAGTGCACGAAGCCCGCCTCCCCGCGCGTGCACAGGCGCAGCTCCACCACCCGCCCTCCTGGAACGTCCCGCCTGCTGAGAAGCATTCGCGGAGGCTGGGGGTGAGGACAGGGGTGCATTCAGTTGCTGCCATGTTTCTTAGGCACCTACCCAGCTGAGTCAGGCACAGTGAGTCTTCTTTGTGGGCAGCCCACACTCTAGGGGCTGCCGTTCAAGTGCATGCAGGCTTCCTGTGGGGCCAAAACTGTGTTGCTCTCTTCTAGCCGTATTTTAAGGCTGACTATGAGGAACCTGGGTATGTCCAAAGTGTCCAGAATGGTCTGGACCTCAAGGTTGTGCTACATGAGAAGGAAGGGTGGGAGAAAGCCTGGGGAAGAGGGAACGCAGCACCAGTCTCCAGTATTCGACTTCTTGCCATGCTGAAGAGAAATCAGACTTCTATAAAAACCGGGCAGCTTTGGAGGTGAGGACTCTCCAACCGGTAAGGGGAGATCTTCAGCGCAGAGGCAGATTCATTTTAGTGGGAATTGAAGGCAGTTCTATTCCTTTTTTCTCGGAGGTTTTAAAAATCTTGCCGAGGTGTTGATCTTTGTGGGGTCACCTCATGAATGCAGAAACGTTATGTCATGCTTTTCTGTCTCTAATTCATAATGAGATATTTTTAAATGTTAAACCATCCTGGAGTCGGCAGTAAGGGGATATCTTATTTTCTGAGTGATATCTGTTCTTTGAAAGTTTGATAGATTTTCGCAAAACAGTCTGGGCCCAGGGCTTTTTGGAGGGAGGGTCATTGATAGCATTTCATTAGGGCTCCGATCAGTTCAAGTCTTTTTGTTTTTTACCCTTCACCCGAGGATATTTTTTCCATTGCTTTTCGGAGAGTGAGGGGGGGAGGGAGTGAGAGAAAGAAACATGGATGAGAGAGAGACATCGACTGGTTGTTTCCTGCACACAGCCCCAGGGGCCGGAGCCTGCAGCTGGGGTACATGCCCCTGACCGGAATCGAACCCGGGACCCTTCAGTCTGCAGGCTGACTCTAACCACTGAGAAAAACTGCCTAGGGTTCAACTCAAGCTTTCTGTCTTCATTTGCCAGTTTTCAGCATTTAGTGTCTCCCAGAAATTAACCCTCCTAGTGCGGTGGTTCAAGTATGGGTTTTAAAAACTAATCAGTTTCCTCCTGCACACCCCCTCCCAGAGATCGAGCCTGTAACCCGGGCATGTGCCCTGACCGGGAATCAGCCTGCACCCTTTCAGTGCACAGACGACACTCAGCCACCTGCGCCACACTGGCCGGGCTTGGCACTTATCTTTTCTCTGTGGAGCTTTCTTCAGAGTGTCAGGCCCATCCCTGAGCCCCTGCCTAGGACAGTGCTTGAATTGAGGGACGCTTTTTGGTAGTGGAATGTGAAAGCTGATTTAAGAGAAGGAAGGGGGAAGAGGTCATACAGGGAGAGAAGGTGGAGGAAGAAGTGTGGGCACTCAAACTAGGTAACCAGTGAACAAGGAAGGGATGACCGACGGCCATTTTCTTGTGTACAAAAGAAAGCTCGGTGGTTTGCTGTCTTCTGTTGCCGTTTGATAGAGTATGAAATAACTCAAGAACCAGGGAGCTCCTAAATCCTAATGCACACGTGGCCTAAATGTGCAAATCAAAATTAGACGTTGCCACTTTACAAGAAATAGTGGGTGAATAATCATGGCTTCTTAGGGGGGCCTTCACATTTTCTGGTCCAGCTCCCACTTTGAGGGAGCATCAAAACCTTAGAGCCACATACCTTGCATGCCTGTGGCCATGCTGGGGACTGGCTTACGCTGCTTTACAATCAGATGGTGGAAAGATGAGCATGGATTAGAGTAAAAAGATTCTAGCTAAATTACTTTCTCCAGAAGTAGCCTTAGGTTCCTATACCTGTTTGGTCAACAGTATGGCATGGAGCCGATTAGAACTGACTGTAACCCAGTGACTGCTGCTGAGGGGCACCTCCCAAGTTCCCCAGCCTGGGCAGAGTGGTGGTCCAGGCTCAGCCAGGCTTCCTCCAGGCTTCTCAGACGGGATCTAGCCCTTTGCGGTCATTTGTCTACTCTCAGCCATCAAAGCTTTTTTACCGTTCCGGTCGTATGTCTGCTCTCAGCCACCACAGCAAGGAACCATACGAATCTTAACTCTATTCATTCATGTATCAGTTCATAATTTCTCTTGTTTATCCTTCATAATCTTGCATGTTATGTATCACTGCTCTTGCAATGGAAATTAATTCCGACCAGTATGACACCCATGTCCAAATTTAATACGACCGCAAAGGGCTAGATGTGTGCGCTTCTGACAGCGTCGATTTCTAACCATCACTGGCCCTTACTTTTTTTTTTTTTTTTTTTTTTTTTTTT